TCCTCGTCGCCCCGCCACCGCCGGCTGGCTCCGCCGCTGCCGAGCCTCAGGCCAGCTCCGCCGCCCCTCCTCTACATCTTCCTGCCTCTCCCTAACCTCTCTCCTCTCCCTTGCAGTGCTCCTCGCCGCCGCCGCCATGGAGTTCGTCGTTGGCTCCCTACTGCCGCCCTGCTCCGGCGACGGATCCGGCGGGATCCGGCCCCCACCGCCCGGATCCATCCATCCCCGATGGGATCCGCCTCCCTCCTCCGCCGGAGACACGCCAAGCCACCGCCATCGTCCCGCTCCGCGCGGAGGAGCGCCGCCGCCCGCTCGACCCTGCCGGCACCCGTTGACCGCGTCGACCCCGCGTGGGCCGGCTTCACACCCCAAAGCCTACCCTTCTCCAGCGGCCTGCTCCAGCGCCCCCTAGGCCGCCTCCACCGACCTGGGCTGAGCCCAGCTAGGTGAGCTGCAAGCCGCTAAGTGGGCTGTATCAGATGTGGCCCGAGACATGTTTATTTTTTCCTTAGATCGTTTTGATATTAATCCTGAGACTACAGTTTTTATAGAAAAACCCTCTAACTTCATGCATTTAATAACTTCACAACCGTGCATCGGATGTAAATAATTTATATATGTAAAGTGACTAGAATTTCAACTAGTTTCATAATATCCAACTTTCATGCATGTTTAAAATGCTGTTTGGTTAAATTTGCTCCTATGTCATGTTAAAATGCTTTAATTCATAACTAAATAACCGTAGCTCCAAACCTAATAAACTTTATATGTAAATGGGGTAGAAAATGCCTAGTTTAACATGGTGGCCTTACTTTGCATGTTTAACAACTCTAAAATATGGTCTAGGGCAGAACAGTACCAAACCTTAAAATATGCATATGAGGATTTTCCGGAATTGTTGTTCGTTGTTTCCAGCCTCATTTAAACTTGACTAGATAGGTAGTCTTACTTTGCTTCACCTCTTGCCATGTTAATCAACATTTAATATTGTTGGGTACATAAACAAGACCGAACTAAATAACTTGATGTGGTGTTTCATCAATATGCAACGGAGTTGCATATTGAGCTCCACTTAATTTGTAGGATTGCTTGTGCACTTTGCCATGCCATGCTTCATTAAACCGGACATGCATCATATTTGGTTGTGCATCATGTCATGTTTATGTGGTGGTTGTTTACTATGTTGTTTGCTTCTTTCCGGGTTGCTTCTCGCGTTAGCTTCGGTTTTGTTCCGGAGTTGTGAGGATTTGTTTGACTACGTCTGTTTGTCTTCTTCATGGACTCGTTCTTCTTCCTTGCGGGATTACAAGCAAGATGACCATACCCTCAAAATCACTTCTATATTTGCTTGCTAGTTGCTCGCTTTTTCGCTATCCTATGCTACGATACCTACCACTTGCTTATCATGCCTCCCATATTGCCATGTCAAGCCTCTAACCCACCTTGTCCTAGCTAAAAGGACATGCGGTGCCCCCATGTGTGGTTTTGGTAATTGATGACATTCTCTATGGACTAATGGTTGCATTGAGTTATATTTGAAGGATTTGTCCATATGCATTTCTTGAAGTCCATGTGTTGGTTTCAAGGAGTTTATGTGTTGACCAAGGTGCTATTAAGGAATTATCCAAAGATTGGTCATGTGAGTGTTGAGCTTATTGCAAGCATGTATTGAAGAAGAAGATTGTGTGATCATTCATGTTTACCTTCATGACATCATCCAAACGAAGAGAGTTGGAAATATTCAAGGTTGATCAAGACTATGTCAAGAGTGAATCAAGTTGATCAACTCACAAAGCGTAAAAGATGTACTGAGAGGGATCAAGTGATCCCATGGTATGGTAAGCATTGTCCATTGCACTTTGTGTACTAACCCATGGTCTATGTGAGAGTTCTATGTGGGGTTAGGTACATGTCCATGGGCTTGCGTCAAGAGGAAGATATCATACAACCCCATGGAAAGGATGA